TGAAAAGGACTTTAAATAGTACAAGAGCCAACAAATGTAAAAGTTTATTTGAAAGAAATGTGTATTATATTACTAACTGGTAAGTAAAACCACAGGAAAAGGAGAAAAATCTATGATTAAGCACAATTTAGTTATTGTAACCATTATATTCTGTTTTCTTCACAAGCAATCTGAAGTCCAGAGGAATTAAGATAACTCTGAAGCATTATGCAGCTAATGGATTAGTAGAGTTTAGTCTGCCAGTTCCTGGTTCTGGGGTTCAAATGCATCATCCTGAACATGCTCAGAAAGCCACAACATCAGAGAAGTTTTTCAAAGCTAATATTGTGAATTCTCAACTGGAGAAAGAACAAATGACTTGATTAAATATGATGGTATCTTAGGAATTTCAGAAACATTTGAGAATTAAGTGCACTTTTTGGTAATTCTCCTTTAGGCAACATCATCCAAAAGGTCCAGAGGGAAGTTTCAAATATTTTCCATTTCATTGCTAATGAGCCATTTTCACCTGACTCCTGCTCCTGTAACTACCCCCTTGAAGAACCAGCTGTCAGTTTCCATAGTTGAGCAGGTTTGGTACTAGACAGGTGGCAGCAGGGTAGAGAAGAAATCATGTCAGTGTGATGTATTTAATCTCGAATTAGGATGATCCACCTGGTGTCATTAAAAATTGACTGCACATCATGAATGATTAACTACAATATAATTAACATTTAAAAGTTAGCCTCAAAATACCCTTCAAAAGATAAATAAGATCATGTGGCATTAATTGAATATTTGAGAAAATGTATATCCACTGATAGATCAGTGAAGTCCATTTAGAAATGATAGATTTTATACCCTGCTCGTAGAAATAGTGGATTATATGATGCTATTCCGGATTCTAACATTTATACATTTTGTAACCTGTGTGCTATAGATTATCTGAAAAATGTCTTGATATTGGTAATGCTGATTTGAAGTTTAAATGAACCAATGTATTTGAAAGTGTATGGTAACCTATGATACTTAATGTGATTATAAGTATGGACACTAGTATTATTAATTTTTATTTTAAAGTCTTATAATTGTGATTTTATAATTTTAAATTCTTAAAATAATTAAGAAAACTTTCTATAGGCATCAGGTAATATTCCTAACCCCATGACTCAGCTCATCTCCCAGGACCTCGGAATGACCATCCATGCTTTATTTATGTATTTACTTACTTAGAAGTTACCTTCCTTGAGTGCTTGGTAATGGACTGGAAGGCATCCCTGTGATTTCACAGCTCTTAGGCTGATCCACATTATATCAGTTATAGCACAATATTGGAATTGGCTATTTAACAGTGTTACTCTCTTAGTGAACAATATAATGCATTTGGCCAATGTTCTTGGTTTGTTTATTTTTAATTTCCTAATACTGGACAGCCAACAATGGAGGCTCAAGAAATATATAATCTATATAATATAATGTATGATATATATATAGTTCAAGACAATTCATTGGATAGACATTTATGAGATACAAAAACATATAAATATTAAAGCACTCATATCCACCAAAATATGTTCTTATTTGCCATTTGAGCCATCATTCTGGAAAAAGTGTGAATGAAATTTTGAAAGGGGTAATAGTGAAATCCATGATGACAAATTCAATGGCAAATGCAGAAAATATTTCTGTTAAAACAAAACTGGATTTTGGAAATGGAGAAGAAACTTCTGAGATACATAACGATTAAATAGATGTGATTAAGAGAAGTATTAAATTCCAAGATGAGGAAAGATGAAGGGTCAGAAAAGGCTTTTATATTTGTGGCTTATATGGCTGGCCAGATGTTGAAATCATTCAGAGAGACGAAAAAAAAAAAAACTTGAGTATGAGGCCATTATTGCAACATCATTAGGATGGATCATGAGAAGCAAACATAGTTTCCACTTTTGGAGTTAGACATGTTAAATGGTGCTTATGTTGTATAAGAGTGAATTTGGATAACATTCAAAGGATATAGCTTTAAGAAAGTGCAGTAGTTAATTTTATGTGTAAACTTGACAGTGCCACAGATGCCCAGATATTTGGTCAGCCACTCTTCTGATGTGTCTGCAGGGGCATTACTACATATGATAACAGTGATCAGTTGACTGTAAAGCAGATTGGCTTCTCTCTTTTGGGGGACCATCCAATCAGCTGAAGGTGGAACATCTTTGTAGAACAAAAAGGTTGATCCTCCTGTCAGTAGGAAGTGATGGATTCTTCCTACCTGATAGCCTTGAAACTGGGAAATTATTTTTCCTTACTTCATCTTGAACTGCAACATATATTGTCTCTGTATCTTGAAGTTTTTTACCTTCGAATTAAAATTATAATTTCAGCTCTCCTGGGCCTTCAACTTGCTGACTAAAGATCTTGGGACACCTCAGCTTCCTTAATTACATGAGCCAATTCCATATATATAAGCACTAGTACAGCAGGACACACACACATACACACACACACACACATATATATTAAGATTAAAATAGATATAGATATATCTAATATCGTTTTAAAATAACTATTGTATCTAAGAACTGTTAATCTCATTCAGGTTCTGCGTGGAATATTATGTGATTGTTCCAGTGTATCCTATAATCAAGTATTCACTAACTTATCTCCTTTCTTGTTAGATGTAGCCATTGTTCTTAGGCAAAGTATAAAATTCACTGTTTATAGATCAAATATTTTGTAATTTCTTGGACAGTAATGTCAGCTGAAAGCTGTGGACAAGACAAAAATCCATGTCTAAGATACATTTTGATTTGACTCGAGAAATTCTGTCTCCTTTCAGGGTTGAAGGTAACAGTGTAATCAACATGCCACCAAGTGGCTGGTTGAAGTCTTTATAGAATTGATTGAAAGCAGTGTATGATCTCTGCATAGTTCTAGTTTGCAAGCAAGTTTGATTTTCCCCTGGAGTGATAGTTGTGTCGCCCTTACTTGAGTTAGTGCCCATGTGTTCAGAATCATTTATGTGCTCTGTGCCCGTCAGCTTGGCTACACTGTTAATAAATCAGTGTGCTTTTACTAAATGCTTGATAATTAAGCCTAGTTTTAGTTAGTTGGCCAATGTATTCTCTATACTTATTTAATTAGTGTTTTTTCTTTGGTGAATCACACTTTTATTCTCTGGGTTTCCTTGTCTTCTGTTGTATTAGTTAGGGCTGCCTTAGGAGAGTACTACAAACAGGATGGTTCACTTGAAGGAAATTTAGGAATGTAGAACAGAGAATAAAATAAAAATATCAGATAATTCTAAAAATTGGAAACTTTTAAAATTAAAACTTTTAGTATAATTTTAAAGTTTTTAAAAAATCTGTATGCTGTATAAAAATTCACATTTGATGTTTAAAAATTACAGCAAAATCGTATAAAATAAATTCATGTTGACCAAAAAGGAGTGATTCAAGATTCTGAATAATGGGAAATCTGGAGACATAATCTAGGATAACTTATTACAGTTAAATTAAAACTGCTTTTTAAGAAATAGAAAAACAGCCTGCCAAAGGTCATAATTCTTCATAAAATATGATGAGATATGCCAACTATACTCAGTTTCTTAAGACATTTATTATAATATACCAAGTAGTCAGAAGATCTGAAATCATTATCCCAAGAAATTGCAGATGACTTTCTTAATATCTAATAGTAAATTTGTGATTGAAATATGAAGAAATCAGAATTTAACTCCAGGTAGAGTAGTCTCTATGCCACAATACACAGCTTATAAAGAACATAAAGCTGAAAAAACTTTCTTCTGAGAAACAAATGAGGAGAGAATTTGAAAACAACGCCAACCATCATCATATACTGGGCATATTGTAAACTCTTTATATAATTCCCTCATTTTGTTTTGCTATACTTGCAGAAAGTTGGAGGGGAAAGCTTTACTTGATAAGAATACAAGAACTGAATTTCTTTTGGAGTGATTTTAGAATTTATTATCTATTTTTTCACAGAATTTTGTACTTGTAGAGTGGAGCATAAAAGTGATTAGCTTTTTTGTGTTACATCTAGAAGGTGAATTTGTAGACTACATTGATAATTAAATTTAGCATTTATTTCAGAAATGCAAGCCTGAATAAAGAAAATCTTATGTTGGCTCATGAAATTACTTATATTCTACCACCCTTTCCAGTAAATAAACATTTCAAGGAGACCATTGGCAACTTAAATACTTTTATCAATCTCATCATTAAAAATTCACCTTAGGTTTCCCTTGGTGCATCTTAAAGTGAAAGCTCAGTTGACGGGCGCTAGTCATTCTGAAGTGATTAATTTAATGATCTCAGATCTGTCTTCCAAGATAGTCATTACAAATATGTTTTATGTATGGAGAGTTACGTTCTTTCTATCATGCTGGTACATTCATCAGTCTATGAAATGGTAAATTGTACAGAAAGACAAATTTCATTGAATGCACAATTTCATTACACAATGAATTCATGAAAATGAATTAGAGTTGGCCTCACATTTGCAGTCTCTGCAGGTCACCAAAAAGCACTACGCAAAAATAATTTTCTCAGCATACTTAAAGATGTGAGTGACTCATAAAGTTTTAAGAAGGAAGCTTCACTTTAAGTTCCCTACATATAATTAGTGAAAATAAAACTTCACATTTTGAGTTTAGAATAAATTATTATAAAATAAATATAAAAACCATAAAAAGCTGGAAGTACTGGTGTGTTAATCGTTAAATATTTTCAGCTATGATTCAGCTTAAAAATTTAGTGTTATTCTTCTGCTGCTGTTGAATAAAACTAAGGAAAAATAAACCAAACATGAGCAATTAGATAAATATATCCAATCTGAAATATTTTAATATTTGTTTTATGAACAAGAAACAGTGATTTCATGTATGATTGAATAGAAGCATAATGTAAAGTGTTTGATAAGAGGAAGGGGTTTTAGTTCAATAAAGAAAGAACATTAAAATCAGAATCATTTTATTCATATTAGTGTGTATCTTTTATTGACAGGTGTTCTTAATAGACTGTCATTTAATGTCATTCAAGATCTACAAAACATCATTTTTGCATGACTACTGCAAAAGGACTACTATACAGAAGCCAGTTCCTTTTGCGAGAGGACAATTTGGACCCTGTTTCAGAAAGCAGGTACATTTCTTCTTTTACTAAACCTCCTTTCAGTGGGAAAGAATGATGAAGCGAATCACAAGCATAAAGCCCTATTGGGTCTATTTAATAGCTCCTCATTTATTGAGCTGCATCTCTGTGGTTGAAGCTTCGAATCTTAAGCACACAAATTGAGCATCTGTCTTATCTTTGAAGTGAAAACTCCTTCATTGTGGCAGGAAATGTTACTACTGTAGATGTCTCGGAATTATTAAAATGAAAAATGCTAAAATATTTTGTTATTATTTGATTGTTCATTTATACGATCAGAGTTTTACACAGAGATGCTATATAATTGCTGAAAGTAGCAAGAGAAATAATAGTCTAATGATGGCTCCTATTTCATATCTTCCTTGCTGTTTTACAGTTGCAAGATAGCAATTAAGTTAAACAAGCAGGAAATCATGGGCAGAGAGAAATAGAGCAGTCCCCATCAGTGTAGAGGATCTTTTGGAAGTGGATAGCTGTTATGCTATTTTCTTAGGATATTCATATAGTATATGATCAAAAATCACCAATGTTCAATTATATATTTTTAAGTAAAATTTAACATTGTTTTCACTTAATAGTATTTTAAAAGTATTACTTTAAAACATGTGATAGGCATATATTTTATATTCATAATTAAGTGAACACAAGCAGACTGTGCTCAAATTAAATCCACTGAGTGCTAATTAAATACAATACTTATGATGTATTTTTTAGAGTCAGCTGGAGAGGGTAATTCATTTTACATACAGAATGACTTCTTCCTATTTTCAATTTTTTCATAAAATTTTGACAATATCATACCCAACTTCAAATTTGTCACATACGTGTCCTCTAATTTGTCAGATTAAATGCTCAAAAATTTTGGACATTATCTTTTCCAGACTTTTCAGTTTCTTGAAAAATAAGGTAAGTGAAGGAATGTGACTAAATCTGTGTTTCAGAGACATTCTATTGGAAAATAGAAGGGTCAGTGTTTTACCAGTAGGTTTATTTTATTTTCTATTTGTTACATCCAAATTCTGGCAACTCCTTGTAGAAAACATTACATTTCACATATATTCCATTCATTAAAATAAATCATGTGTCATTTTGATTGAAGGCTCTAAACATCCCAAGTATACTTAAATTAGATTTGTGGAGAAAAGCAACCATACATTTTCTTGAGAGATGGATGGATACATAGATTGAAAGATAGACAGATAGATAATGCAGACAGAAAATGGTGGACTGTATTTAAATGGAAACCTCAAGCTATGTAACAAAAGTGAATTTCCCATAAACTAGAATATTGCTACATTCTAACAGTAAAAAGATTAAAAGTAGTGTTTTTCCATCATAATTCTGCTTGTTACAAAGAGTATGATCTCACAATAAGTTATTTATATTAAATAAAATTAAAATAGCAGTCTGTAGCCTATCTACAAATATACACATCTGTACTTAAAGTATTTTCCCTTAATTCTTAATCATGATGCTTTTGAAAACAAACTCCACATTAACCTTCTCCTTAGAAATCAATGAGTAATAGAAATAAATTAAATCTGTGCACCTTATTTGAGTTTTTGCAATGTTAGAAACACGTTATTTATGGTGCTGTGACATTCAAAGAAAGGCATCTGAATATAGCACAGCAGTTGGAGGGTAAAAGGGTTTCTGATCTAATGCTTATTTCCAGATGGATGTTGGATATGCCTTATAAATGTATGCTAGACTTATCAGCAGGTGGAAATCCAATGGTCTGTTTTGAACACTGGTGAACTGGTATATTCTATAAACTATCAACTGAATTGTTTTAGATTCATGTATTTCAACAGACTCTATTAATTTTTGAGTAGATCCTTTTTGTCAACCTATTAACAAATTTCAGTTCCAAACTGAGCATGGAGAGCCTATTTAATTGTACAGGAAACATATGGAAGCCGACTCAGCAGAGCATAGTTCACTCTGATCATGGCACTCTTGCTATTGCTCCACCTAATTGAAAAGCATGTTGGTAGAATAGGAAGCAATTGAAATAAATGACACAAACTGAGCACTGCAAAGCAGACGTAAGTGAATTAAAATTGATGGATCTGATGAGAATGGATTCCTGGTGTCACTTTAAATAAAATCCCATTTCATTCATGCACTTGCACATAATCTGTCACACAATCATGAAAAATATTCAAGGGAGACAGTTTCATCTTGACACAAACATCGAAATCCCTATCCTAATAAGAAGCAACATTTATTAAAAGAGGTCCTGAGTTCAGCCTCTCAGAATGATATAGGATGCTTTCCATAGTCCTTGGCTCAGATCCAATAGGAAGAGCTTGAGAAGAGCATCAGAGGTTCCATTTAAGAGCTAACAATTTTTTCCTCACCCACGGGATGAAAACCTCCTTAATATCCATATGTGAATCTGGGGTATTAAATATAATAAGAATGCAGTGGAATATTCTCTAAATTTTAAAAGTGAAAAATAAATTTTTGTCATTAATCATTTTGGATATGTCATAAAATTAAAGACAAACTTTCATATGTATTAGTTAAACATAAGGATTTTGTATGTTAGCAGCCCTGCTTTTAAAAAAATATTTAGAGTGTGGCATTTACAATTAAAATAGAGAAATTCCACTGAGATGGTAGACAGATGTTGAAAACTGCAGTATTAATTATGTCCAAGCAGGCTGTAAGGAGAGCAGGCTGTACAGAGTTCACCCTATAATTGCTTTGTTTTGAAATGTGAGTCCAGCTGAAGCCAATTTGCCAAGGTCAGAGTAACTCGAATTCAAATTCCATTCCCACCACTGAAACCTTCTTACTAGAAGAACAATGTTTTAATTAAAACCATATATTTTGTCTATTATGTTCCTAATTTGAGAATGCTTTGTCCTTTATGAGGCTTGCTTACATTAATTTCCATAGAAACTGTGCATGTCGTTCTGCCCTTGCAAAGGCTCACCTTTACCCCAATTGATTATCATTAAAAATCAGTAGCTTGGACCGGCTAGTGCCTTTGTTGGTTGCACCAGCATTAGTTTGTCCTGGCTTCTGTTTTCTCTCTCTCTTAGTTCTGCCTTTTATTTGCCCTCACCTCAGGCCTGTGTTGTACACTGGGCAGGAGACTAGAGACTACTACAGAGGTTTCCAGCAACATTTCAGGGGTCCCGGTAATATTGGTAAAATATCACAAAGAATTTTCTAATAATTTCAGTGTCTCTGATAACATTTCAGAGAAAATATGAATAGGTCAATGGAAAAGTGCAACTTTTAACTGTCAGGAAAGGAAGTGGAAAAATTCCTTATAAAACTGTTATTTAATAATGTAACCTTAATTCATTTTAAAGTGTTTGTTACACACATCTATATTTTGCTATAAGTAAAAATATCAGTTATATATTTTAAACACATTTGTAGTTCTTTTAGTAATAGTATGCTTTGAAAAATTCTATAGGGATTTTTTTTTGTATGACATATATGAAGTTGCATAAGTAGGTAAACTAAAATACAAGGCTTTAAAAACTGAGTTATCATTTTCTATCAAATATTTCACAATCTAAAGTTACCTAAATTTCCTAATCAGTATTCATCTCTATCTTTCTGTTGTGTATGTTGGAGGGGTGGTCCAATGGCAATGTAATGGGTTGTCCCAAATATCAATTTATTCATAGAAGTTATATTAATGAATCAATATTTCTAAAATATGGTACCCACGGATGCAAAGAAAAACTGATTTTGCACAGAAAAGGCAAGTAAAAGGTATAAATTTCAGTGCCATACTATGACAGAGATGGAAGTCAGTCATAATTGTGGACATGCAACCACTTTAGTTCATATGAATGTATGCAAACTGATTCATGTATACTTGCTCAGTAAATAGTATCTCTTAAATATTACTATTGTAAAGTGAACTTATAGAAATGGAAAATATTTATATATACTCAATGCTGCATTTACTATACTTTAAATGTCAAGGAAAATTTTTAATGGAAGGCAAAATCCAAAATGACTTCCTTGAATAGTTTTTTAGCATAAGAAAATTTCCTTCCAATCCTAGTCCCATACAAGTGATGAAAATAGTCTGAATGGTTAGTCATCTGAATTCTTTAAGGCTATTCTCAGTATATGAGAAGTTTCCCTCAATAAATGGATGAGTCTGAAACTCAGTTAATCTCTCTGTATTCAGCCTACCTATATAAGGGGAATTCTAGACTGATAAATGATAAATAAATACAAACTCTTCTCCTCAACTATCAAAATTGCCTAGTATATGGAGGTATCTATGAAAAATGGAAAAAAATATAAGCTTTTGAATGAGGCAGATTTAGACTTTAATATTTCACATTTGCCAGTTTGAGCTCTTATCTTAATTTTATGAACTTCAAGTTTCCTTCAACTATAGAAGTGGGTAATACTTCATGTTTGCAAGGGTGCAGAAACTTTAAATGAAATTCTATCTATCTATCTATCTATCTATCTATCTATCTATCTATCTATATCTCTATCTATCCCATTTATACAATAACACACACAATCACATATATTTGGAGTGTGCTACGTGGAAGGTGCTCAACAGATATTTGTTTTTTTGTGATAAAATAATTACCAGTCTTTTCCTCTCCAAATAGAGCAAAACTTCTTTCTTTGACAATCAGATGAAATTTCTGAGATCAAAGATAGAAGAAAAAGAGAATGGGACAGATACAAGAAGGAAGGATGAGAGAGAAGGGGGAAAGAGAAAGAAAATGTGAGAGAAATGGAGAACAAAAGGGAGGAATGAAAAAATAGATGAGCGTCTTTCTTAGCATTAATACTATGTGCTTTCTGGGCTCTTGCGGGACATAAAATAGACGTAGAAAAGTATTATAGTCTTTTTTTTTTATCTGAAATCAGGGCCGGGGATTTAGCTCAGTGGTTCCATCGCCTGCCTCGCAAGTGCAATGTCCTGAGTTCAATCCCCGGTACCAAAAAAAAAAAATAAATAATAATAATAATAATAACTACAATAT